ACGTCCATGAAATCTGGGATGATTTGTGGGCTATGATGAGACTTACCCTCCTTGTTTGGGGAGAACTCTAGAAGAGCTTTGGGAAAACTTGAGAGGAACGTGGGAGAGATCTGCTGCCGTCCCTCGCCCAGCTACCATGCTCATTGGCCACACCAGCTTTTTACGCCATAACCTCTTGCATAATGACACCTGACCCAACATTGGACGCACAAGAGTATAAATGGCGGCCTAGGCCATCGCGACAAACGCTGCATAAATTTTGGATATCGACTCGGTGGTTCTGCGCTCTGGCCGGCAATAAGGGGTGTTTTTACAGACCCAATGTCTTTTGGCACCGGCGCTTTTATCCACGCATCTAACGCCATTATACACATTCCGCGCCAGCGTCGGTTGCCGCCTGTTGTTTGCGGTAAACCGTAGATTACCGGGCAGCATTCCTAAAAAAAAACACCGCTGCTAAGAAGCCAGAAAATCTAGGAACACACCTTTGGTGTTCAGACACGCACAATGAATGACCCATAGGCTAGTGAAAATTTACGCCCGATTGCGCAACATGCCGGAAAGGTATTCTCAAACAGCCTCAAGGGGGTCGCATTAAACATTCCCCCTTCAGAGCGAGGGTCAACGTATCAACATAGCCCATTGAACTGAAGGGTTGGGTGCATTGAAAGCTTCAAAGGATTAAAGCAGAGTACTTTAACAATACAGCAAACAAACTTCTGCGTGGAAAAAAGCGCCGGCACAAAAAGAAAATGGGAAACAAATACAAGCAACGTGGCATATACGATGATTTCTCCAACATTTGATAAAATGACACGCATTGCCCACTCTTTGACCAAACAGATTGCAAGAAATCACAGGAGGCCAAATTTACTTCTTTTCACCGATGGAAACTACGCGATTTTCCGAGGTAAAATAGTTCCATTTGGCTGCCTGGAGAATCGTGCAGTGCTCATGAGCACCAAGCTAGTGTGTTTGATCTCATATCATTTCTTGTAATTTGCTGGATCAATGTGTGTACAATGTGTCCCATTTTATCACCTGTGTACTGATAACACAAATTGCGTATATGTTATCTACGCTGGTTGGCTTCTGTTGTCCGTTTTTTATTTGTGTATTTTAATTGCGTGAGTAAGGTCGGTGACCAAAAGTCCGTTCAAAAATGCTTTTTACTAAGCGGCAGTGACGTGTATGATTACGGCACGCTCAACCTGCCGCCATTGAAATGGTCCATTTCGGTTATTTTTCGTTGGCTTTTGGTTCGCCGATTTAATTATACTGAGCACGCAATAAATTGCACAAGCACTAAAACATCTTAGAGTAAATGAATGAAACAACACATTTCGATGAGTTCAATACGGCGTACCATTAACCATGCATCGACTGGGATATCTAAGCTACTCCCCGAACTGTTGAAAGATTTTACGTCTGCCTGCCTGCGAAACCAACTGATCAGTTCGCCGATTTAAGCCACAGTCCGGATGGTGACTTCCCGTTTTTTGGCGACGGTGACGTGGCTTTCACCAATGACCTCAGAGCCCTGGCCAAGTGAAAAGATTCTCATTCACCTGCGATTACTCGCAAGTTGTGGCTTAATGACAAGTTTAAATGCCGAGACGCTATAACTGGGCCTGCCCAGCGTGCAGGTGTGCGTGTTGGTCTACTTTGCTGGCACAACTGGCATTAGGTCAAGGTCTCACTTTGGTAGATAGGGATCAAAGAGGCGGTAGAAGCGGATATCTGAGGTCTCTAGAGGTGGTAGAGGTGAAAGGAGGTAGAGGTGGGTAGAGGTCCTTGGTGGATAGACCAATATGCATTGTCACATATGTCTGACGATCTGAATCACACCCGGGGGTCAGCATCAGCAGGGTTTTCAAACTATTTACCCATAACGTGCAATAGCTCAAAAATCGGGTCAAACACAGAGGTCATGCAAGTTCCAATTCCGCACACGGAGATGCGTATCAAATTGCATATTTGTTAGGTAGAATTACGTCAGTAGCTCACAAAACCCATCCATCCCACACTTATGGTGATAACCTGAGTTATGAGGGACTGGCATGCTAGATCAAGCTCCTCAACCCATGCGCATGTGATATCACAGACATAGCACGGCAGACCCCTGGTAGCAAATGCGGGCATATAGTAAACGAATCGTTTGATGCATTTTATGCGCGTCTTAACGCACAATTTACATAAAATAACCTGTCATACCGGAGTAAACATTAAAGAAGGAAACACGCAAGTGCGGTAGCGGCAGCGGAGCAGTATCCTTCTACCTTTGGGAAGGCTTTGACATTAACCCCATGGCACTACATGACAAAAAACATAGAGTAAGCATCGCGTTTTCACCGGCATTGCCTCAGGGCATCGTTCGTCACTGCGTTAGCGCTGTGAAATATCATGTCTTAAAGACAGGGCTCAGATCTCAGGAAAACATCATTTTTATCATATTGTGTCGCTACATTATGAAAGCAGGAAAAGGCTATTGACCTTAATGAGGAACTAACAACTAAGAGGAAATGGCTCGAACCCTGATGACTTGTTGCTACTTTTTATTGCTGTTTGAACCGTTAATAATGAGTGGTTTGTCGCTAAGGCAGTAGTATTAGCCATATTCCTTGGAAAAACCAGGAGAATAGAGATATAGTTAGGTTGATATTTCGGCAACACGCCTTTCTCGAAACAATGGCAGAAGTGAATTAAAAATTGTCTGCCGATGCTCCCGCTCGATATTTCAGTTTTTGAAATAGCAAGCCACATTTTTTACTGGACACCAACATTCAGGGAGTTAAACAAAGCGATTGCCAGCCATTACCAAAATACAGTGCCTATGTGTGAATTAGAATGCCCGGACATACTCTGTAGATGACTTTGAGCTCTAAAAGGGGCCTAGGGTTCGTACTTCCCTCGATGTCAGCCTGAGCGTATTTGCCAAAAAATGGTCACCAAAAGGAATATTCCCTGTTTTGTTTTTAGTGTCTCGTAGGTGCTCATTATATCTAAAACGAATAGAGCACATGGACTCCCGACACGGGTTATGTCCCTCCCTGTTTTTCAAACAGTTTACACTTGATTTCGTAACCCACGGTTTCTTTGCGTGCAAGCCCCTTGAAACCCAAAATTGCATAAATGCATCTGTTGCCACCCGGGCACTTAGGCTCCGAGATGAAAGATTTCACCAGAGACTTTTGAAGCTTCTTATCGTTTTTCCAAGCTATGCGTACGCGCATAATTCGTATCATGTTCCATAGGGCTCTAAACAACTCATCAAGTAGTGAAAAGGAAAGAAAGAGCATAACAAACATGGGCTTTGCTGTTGGGTAATGGATATTCTCCGCGACTTTTAGGTAGAATGTTGGAAGAAGTAAAAAAGTCTGGAGCGCGTCGGGGGATGGGTGATCGCGAACACGTCCAGTCAGAAGACGGATTCTTTGCGCTACTTTACAAAGATGAGCATTTTCTTCCCCTGATCCCCTGAATCCCTGAATATGAATCCCTGAAACCCTGAATCCCCTGAATATTGGTGTCCAGTAAAAACTGTGGCTTGCTATTTAAAAAAAACAACTGAAAAATCGAGTAGGAACGTCGGCAGACAATTTTGAATTCACTTCTGCTATTGTTTTGAGAAAAGTATGTTGCCGAAACATCAACATAACTATATCTCTATTCTCCTGGTTTTCCGAGGAATAATGCAAATACTACAGTCTCATCTATGTGACTAATGTTCCTCGCTAATGCACTGAACAACTTACGTGATTTGTCGCTTCTTAAGCAGTGACAAAAAACCGAAAAGACTCAAAAGTTGGAACCTATGATGGTGTTTATGGCGTCATTTCGTCGCCGCCCATGGCGATCTAGTCCTAAGAAATCAACACCGGATTGCCCTGATGCTCGTATCTAATTGCAAACATGTTAGGTTAATGACAGTATCTACCTGGAGGTTTTGCCACGTAGCCCAAGTGGGTAGGAGGTGAAGCGAAGAATTTCCCTGGTGGTAACAGTCGTAGGTTAACCCAATCTCTCCAATGAACATTCGATCTCTAACATGGGCCACGCTGGGCGAAGCCATTGACAGTCCTTATCACTATAGGCCCATGTCTTGAGATAGGCAGAATTCGGCTTCAGAAAGACAATGACTTTGAGTCTCTGGTACCGTGCTGTTTTTGTCAAATGCTAAGCCACATCAGTCTAAAAACTCGGTGAAAGGATTTCTACTCCCGTGAGTCGCAACATAAATACCAGGATTGAAGCGCCATGGTGACTTCACTGTCTATGCGCTGGTGCGCCTTTTGTCTACAGCGTGATAGAATAACCATTCGAACCCAAGGACTAGGAGCATCGACCAGGTGCAGACCGTCACACTACCACGGCGTGCTTTTCTGCGACAGTCTGACATCTGCGACACATCGGTAAACACCACGGGGATGATCTGAGTTTTTCGTCACCGCGCATTGAGAGCTCACGGTGGTATTTGGTATTTAAAGGTGGTGCTCGGTGCGAATCCTGCCACCCATTTCCAAAATCAGAAAAAAAAAACTCGCCGGCAGTCTCTCCATCAATTTTCCACCCACAAGAGCGTTGCTTGTGGTTTATCATCGACACATTGACTCAAACAAGGACGGATGTCTGAGCAGCGGACCTAAGCAAGTATTCAGAACAGTTCGGAATAGTCCGGTTGAGCTTAGCATAGCACTAGTTAGACTTAGCATAGACCGCGAACAAAAGCACGAAATGAAGCCTTTAACTGCCGTCAAAACACCTTGCCCTTACCGAGGCCGTCGCTGAAGCACCGCAGCAGCACACGCTCTCTTTGACGTGTGCAGCACCGCGTCGACCTTATCGGGGGCCAGCGTGACTTGCGTCCTGTACGGATAGACCAATCCGTATGGGCGCAAGGTCGTCCGCGTGCACTCTATCGGAGCATTGCTATCAGCAGCCGGTAGGACCGTGTCGAGCTGCTGCAGACAGCAGGGTCACAGCCACGGGTGCCAACGGGCAGCCTGGTGTCGCCAATGTTTAACGAACACCAGCGACAAAAAATCAACAAAAACCGCTAAAAGGTGGCAAAAGCCAACCTGCTTGGGGTCGGGGAGGGGTCAGGGGGCGAGCCCATCCCCAGTGCTTTCTCCGCGGCCCACACTTTGAATGCCAGTCACGGCTCGTCGCAGCGGCGCCTCTTAAATGCAAATAGACCAATAAAGGTATGACAAATAGGGTCAAACACCGCGGGATCCAAGCCACGCAATTGCGATCACGGGTCCGCGGCACTGTCAGCGCGCGGCCTATGTGGCATATCATGCTCACCGCGGCAGCTGTCAAGATCGGTGACGATCCGAGCGGTGCGGCACTGGGAGAGCTCGGCACCCCTCCATCGTGCGGTGGCGATCCGAGCGGTGCGGCACTGGGAGAGCTCGGCACCCCTCCATCGTGCGGTGGCGATCCGAGCGGTGCGGCACTGGGAGAGCTCGGCACCCCTCCATCGTGCGGTGGCGATCCGAGCGGTGCGGCACTAGGAGAGCTCGGCACCCCGTGCGGTGGCGATCCGAGCGGTGCGGCACTAGGAGAGCTCGGCACCCCTCCATCGTGCGGTGGTGATCAGAGCGGTGCGGCACTAGGAGAGCTCGGCACCCCTCCATCGTGCGGTGGCGTGCTACGGTCGCTTTGACCGCCATCCGCCATATCGACACATCGTGGCGATGGTTTATTGCTGCGTCGTTGGTGCGGTGAAATGTGGTGATAGTTTTAGCAGGCAGAGGGTCTAGCGTCTGTTTCAAATGAAAAACGACAATTGGCTTGAGCAATCTCCATCCAATTTTCAATCAACCTTCATGCACGTGGGAGTTAGAAATTATGAAATATATGGTGAGGTCAATAATGTTAACCTACCGGCGAAGCAACGGAGTTTCTAGGTAGGAAAACTCATGGCCCTTTTTCCAGTCAATGCCCAGAGGGTACACGGTAAACTTTTGGAATAATGACCACAGAGTTCATTTGCTGACAGCAGTCGACTTTTCATATGACATGAGGTATTGGTTAAATGACGTTATCAAGCAAACATTAATTTTATTGTCAAAAATCCACGGCTGTAGTCATGATCACAACTCGAAATGTCGAGCTTTGACAATAAAACTAGGAGCTCGAGGGGTTTCTCGCTCATGTTTGACAATTCTTTTGGTATTTGGAGCTCATTGTGGCTCATTCGAGAGCTTTGGGTCTGGAAGGGAGTTGGCTCAAATCCTGTAAGTTGGATGCTCACATCCATCGAGCAGAAACTGGGCCTGGTCACTGACACCAACGTCATTGACGAAGTCGTAGGCAGCAGCGCACTTGCAACAGTAGGAGCTTGCGAAAGCAAATATTTCTGCTGTGTTGCCCTCAGACAGTGTTTGATGGACCGGTGGTTTGAATTGTGTTATTCTTCCTAGAATTTTTTGCACAGTGCCGTGGCGGGCGTCAATTTGGGTTGCGCTTTCACTAATTGACCTCGTTTAGGTTTTGAGTAGAGTGACTGCGACGTTTCCAGTGATTTCTTCGGAATGCTTCGCACATTTCTGCACTCAGGGCCTCGGGTTAGGCTATCAACACTGACCTCCTCCAGAAACTGTTAATACATTTTTCTGATGGTTTTGTGATCGCGTCCCAGCGCGTAACGGACGTTGGAGATGGACAGGAAAGCGCACTCGGCTGCTCTCATCGAACCTGTTTTGTATACGAGTCGTGTTATACCTTTCAGGGAGTGCATTTCGAGGAATGATGAACACCATGTCGATTGAACCCACATTTTGCATGCATTCTAAAAACGTTATTCACGTGTTGATTAATTGGTTTTGTGTCCTGCAGTGTTCAAACGAAGGCAGGAAACCTTTGAGCCCGCCCTGTGCACTCAATGGGGCTGATTTGGCACAACAATCCGCTGGTTATCAATGGCTGATTTTGTCACGATGAGGTCGTTAGACTGCTTGCTGCTCAGCTGTCGCGCCAACTGCGGTCGGTCTGGTGCTCTTGACTGGATGACGGAGCGTGGCGGCGGCCCTCTGCCGCCCATCGAGAGCCCTCTCACAGCGGCCGGCGAGAGCTATTTCCATCAGCGGCCAGCGCGAGCCATGAGAATGGCCTGCCGCCGCCGCGTCACCGACAGGCGCCGCTCTCACAATGCGGCCAGGCCGGGCCCACTTGTTGCTCGACCGGCCCGGCGCGCCATCACAAAAGCGCGCGGATGCCGTCACGACTTCAATAACCCATCTCAATGGGAAACGTAAACGGGAGGTGATGGGGCCGAGTTGATTGAGCGCGCCGGCAGCGCGGCTGTTTACGGACGCGGCGGCGGGCACGCGCCCCTCCCCCAGGCCGGTCATCGGCGCCCGTAATTCGGCCCCGGCCGGCGCGCGTGCCTTGCATACCCGCCCACCAGCGGAGCCCCGCCGCCGCCCACCGCATGCCCCGCCACAGGGAATATGACGGACCAGCGGCCTCGGCGCCGTCGCATGGCACACGGCTGGCAGGGCTTGCTTAGCAAATTTCGGTCTAAGTGAATCAAAAGAAATGATGCCCTTCATCAATCTCGTTAGTTCTTTGTGATCAAGACGCCTACCTCAGAGGCAAGTTTGGGAAAATGACACGAAGGATACCCTCGGGTTTTGTACAGCCGCTTTTTTAAACACACACCGCTGGCAAATTTCAAAGTAATTTAGTGTTGGAAATGTATGGCGGTAATTGGTACGAAATATAAAGAAATCACTGTGTTAAATTTCAATCACCAAAATGGCTGACATCCTTTTGCTATCTGGCGGGTTGTTCTCTTCAGTGTGTCGAGTGTCGACGCTGTATTGGGTCAAATGCACGTTGCACCGGCATGGGCCGGGCCGGCAGCGTGTTGAGCTGACTCAGGGCTGCGCCGGCCTCCTGTCGGGCCGACAGCTGGTGCCCGCCGTCAGCTGGCGGCGGCCTGATGGACCACACTGAGTTCCGGAGGCGGGGCCGCCAGATGGTGGACTACATCGCCGACTACATGGAGACCCTGCATCTGCGCCGGGTCACGCCAGACATCGAGCCAGGTACGCCACTCTGCACCGGCGCGGAGCCGTGGATATCAGATGCTGCTGGTGCACGACACTGCACTGGCGCCGAGACGTAGGGATCGGATACTGCTGGTACACGATACTGTACCGGCGCTGAGCTGTAGGGATCAGATACTGCTGGTACACGACTCTGCACTGGCGCCAAGACGTAGGAATCAGATGCTGCTGGTACACGACTCTGCACTGGCGCCGAGACGTAGGGATCAGATGCTGCTGGTACGCGACTCTGCACTGGCGCCGAGACGTAGGGATCAGATGCTGCTGGTACACAACACTGCACTGGCGCCGGGATGTAAGGATCAGATGCTGCTGGTACACGACATTGCACCGGCGTTGAGACGTAGGGATCAGATGTTACTGGTACACGACACTGCACTGGCGCCGAGACGTAGCGGTCAGATGCTGCTGGTACGCCACTCTGCACGGGCACGGAGATGTAGGGATCAGATACTGCTGGTACACGATACTGCACCGGCGCTGAGCTGTAGGGATCAGATACTGCTGGCACGGCACCCTGCACGGTGCTGAGACGTAGGAATCAGATACTGCTGGCACGTCACACTGCGCCGGCACTGAAAGGTAGGGATCAAATGCTGCTGGTACACGACACTGCACCGGCGCATACTCGCAGGGATCAGATACTGCTGGTGCACGACACTACACCGGCGCTTAGACGAAGGGATCAGATACTGTTGGTACGCCACATCGCACCGGCACTGACACGTAAGGATCATATACTGCTGGTACGTCATACTGCACCGGCACTGAGACGTAGGGATCAGGTACTGCTGGCATTTCACGCGAGACACCGCAAACGAGCGCTGTCCAGGAAAAGTTGTGAAAAAGGTCAAGATGGAAGCAGCCTCTGGGCCCGCGGCAACAGGAGTTCGAGAGATGTCAAAGGTGGCAGGAGGCTTCAAGAGAGGTCGTGAGTCTCTGCCGTTAGGGCGCAGGGAATGCCGCGAGATGCTCCTAACATAAGCTTGTGATGCCTCCCTTCAGAGAACCCATAGAAAACAGAGAAAATCGTCTTGCAGAAAAGCCAACACGACAGTGAGGTATAGGGACATGATAGCCACGTGAGTGATGATCCATCGTCCTCAGCTACGTGTCTTTCACCTGGCGCAAGTGACTAAGTTTCGGAGCGCATACATGTACCGTTTTGTTTGCTATTGCTGGCAGGATACCTGCGGGATCTGATACCTTACGATCCACCAGAGCAGAGCGACACCTGGGAAGGAATCATGAAAGATCTGGAGAAGAAGATCATGCCTGGGGTAAGCAGAAGCAGAGCATGAACGCATTGGTTGTTTTTTCAATGATCGCCCCGTGAGTACGCACTGGTCGCCGGTGTTGTTCTTATATTTGGCGAGGCCATATGGCTGGGCATCGTTTGCACATGATTTTCAGGTTTTCTTAATTAGATACATCACTCTGTTTTGCTTGATCTGAGCTAACTTACGGAGCATGTAAGTACGATTGGATGTCACAGTAAATCCTTAAAAAGTATGTTTTTGCAGATGTCATAAATTTGCCGATGACTTTGAGTTGCCACCTCGCAAAGAAGCATCTCGAAAGTCGTCTCTACTATTAAAAAAGACCAAAAACGCAGAAAAGCGGTGCAAATATACATTGACATCACAAAATAGAAGACTTATCCATGGGCGCACGCTCACGGCCTCGTCAGGCTGCAGACACACAGTGCCAACCTCATAGACGTAAGGACGAGGCCCGCGCTGGGGATCGATCCCATGTTGTCACTGCGAGACATAGCCGACCGGTGCTGTCCTGTTGCCAGATGGTGCACTGGCAGCACCCGCAGTTCCACGCCTACTTCCCGGCCGGCAACTCGTACCCCTCGATCCTGGCCGACATGCTGTCTGGGCTCTGCGTCGGCTTCTCTTGGGTACGTGCTACTGTTTGAGCTGGGTACTCGCACCAGCTGGTTTCCGAGCATGCCTATTCGTTCGTCAGCCGCAGTCAGATGCGCGATGTCTGCTCGCACGTACCGCGTCGCCGTTGGGTACATGAGTAGGAAGATCCCTTAGTCACGAGATGTCTATCCCAGCAGGAGGCGCCATTGCTCCAGTCCTCGCACGGACTGGTGACAGGCTGGGTCTAGGGACAAAGGAAATATTGTTAATCAAGGGGCTTTGCCTTTTTTCTGGTGGTTTGAAGTTCGGAAACCTGCGCATGACGCAAGAGGCGTAAATCAAATTTTGGTTACAAAAGAAAATGATCCTCTTTCACTTTTCTCATCTGGCCATTGAGCTTCCACTGCAGAAGGAGCTGCATCTCCCCACAGCAACGCTAACGACATGACGTATTATACATAGTAGATATAGCCAGCCAGATATGGGGGCCAGATGTGGGAGCACAGGCATGTATGTGAATATAGCTATCAATACATCGGTAAATATTGATATGTCAGTCAGATTTGGACCATTTCTCTGCATTCCTAGTCATGTCTTGGGCTTAGATCTGGCGGTTATTTCAGCATGACTGGAAAGACGACCAACCACTAACGTATCTCCCCCTCGCCAGCCGTATCTCTACCTTACCAGCCGTGTCTGTGACCTCGTCAGACGTGCCTTGACCGTAAAGCGAGGGCTCACCGGCCACATCTGGGACGAAGCTCCGACACACGAGCCCGCCCTGGACCGGGCTGTGTCAAGCCCCAGGCGCGCGTGCGTCTTCACCAGGGCTGTGTGTGCGTCGTTACAGGCAGCCAGTCCGGCCTGCACCGAGTTGGAGACCATTGTGCTCGACTGGCTGGGAAAGATGATTGGTCTGCCCGACCAGTTCCTCTCCTTCACCGAGCACAGCATGGGAGGCGGGGTCATACAGGTCAGGGCGTGTCGCCCGCTCCGGCTGACGGTAGTATTACATGATGGTGCGAACCAGCGATTTTATATCTTCATTTGCCACTGCTCTATTAAACAAGGAAAACAACGCACCGACGTAGGCAATTGAGTCCATTGATTCGTTTTTGGCGACTGAATTCATATGATTTATTCCCCCAAATAACAGCTATCCTTTCCCTCCCGTTTACCTGGAATCTTGTGCTGAAAATCGTACTTGCGGCACCGATTTTGTATCTCATTGTCATACCCGAAAACAATCAGTACATGCGCTCACCATATATGCTTTATACAAACGGCTATGCTCTCACAGCCAACAATCCGCTTGTCACAGCCTTCTCTAGTTAGCCGGGCACCTATGTTTGACAGACGTCAGCCAGCGAGTGCGTGCTGGTGTCGTTGCTGGCGGCACGCGCCCAGGCCATCCGCCAGCTGAAGAAACAGCACCCGGCGGTGGAGGAGGGCGTGCTGCTCTCCAAGCTGATGGCCTACTGCTCCAAGGAGGCGCACAGCTGCGTGGAGAAGGCGGCCATGATCAGTTTCGTCAAACTGAGGATTCTGGAGCCGGACGAGCGCTTCAGTCTGCGGGGCGCCACGCTCAAACAGGTCGGTCCTGCCGCACAAAGGCCTCAAAACACACCGGCCAGGCCAGGTGTGTGGTGCCGCCGCACACAGAGCCACAAAAGCACCGGCCAGGTCAGGCGTGTGATGCCGCCGCACACAGGGCCACAAACACGCCGGTCAGGTCAGGCGTGTGATGCCGCCGCACACAGGGCCACAAGCACACCGGCCAGGTCAGGCGTGTGGTGCTACCGCACACAGAGCCACAAACACACCGGCCCGGTCAGGCGTGTGGTGCCGCTGCACACAGGGCCACAAACACACGAGCCAGGCCGAGCTTATGGCTTGTTCAGTTTCCGCAGCTAGGCACTGACACAGGCCAGCTGACATGCACAGAAGACCGCTGAAGCTGGTCTGTGGTTATGCGCCTAAGAACGAATGCAGCAGGTCAGCCAGCCATCGGCTGGAGGCCCGGCATCGGCCAGGAAACGGCCTTAGGTTTTGTCTACAAGCAGCGGCCGGCTGTCGTCACACTCCGGTCAGATTGTGTCTTTGTGGCGGCACATTTAACTTTCATTTATCAGGGCTATGAGTCATAAACTTTTCACTAGCTGGACGCCGACATGAAGGAATTTAGAAATTAAGGAAAATAGAGGGATTTTAAAGCGCATATACATCACAAATTTGGCGTTTCGTGGTTTCGTAGTCGTCGGGAGCAGACTCCAACTGAATTCATTTGGGAAGGCGAACAAAATAACCGGGGGAAGAGTGCATAGGATTTTGCTTGTGTTTTTGATAGTTTGCGGCTGATTTGAATGCATGCACCTTGCAGGTGCATTGCAATGCAATGCACCTTGAATGGAAGCAGTAGCACAAAGGTTAAAAAACTCCCTGCCCCACCCATAGCGTCTCCTGTACATTAGCGGTCGATCAGCCACTGGGCCACAATAAGACGTGTGCCAGCACTCGACTATCTCGCGCGAGAGCATGGTATAAGTTGCACGTGTTTCCAAAGGATATCGGCGAGCTTACCTCGTTTCATAAGAGCTCACCGTGACCCAAGGGCGGCGAATGGTGCAGCACTGTCGTCTTAACCAGGATCCTTCGGTCCTCTTTTGAAGTCTAGTCGCTGAGGGCCAACTTCAACGTTTATGGGTGGCAAAAGTTTCGAAATTACCTGCCAGTACGCTGCAAGACACGGACGTGTGGGTACGTGGACGGCCCGAGGTGTGCTGCTAACGAGTTCATAACTTATGCCGGCACATCATCCAACCGTTCAAAACTTTCAACCCTGGATATTGCTGATACCTGGAGGCTATAAATGAACACGTCCTGCAGTACGTTCTAACAACTTTCACCAAGCACCATCAAAATTGACCAGCACAGAGAGCATACGGCGTGCATCAATCGCGTGAGGCGTGAGCCTTATGTTGCTATGACCTGAATTGACTCTGGACGAGGTCAGGGAACCAGTCTAGAATCAATCTGACAGAACGGCACCATGGGCCTGGTGCCATCCTGACCTGACCTGACCTGGGCCGCCTGACCGGGCCGCAGGCGATGGACGAGGACCGCGCCGTGGGTTTGGTGCCGTTCTTCGTGTCCACCACGCTGGGTACCACCTCGTGCTGCTCGTTCGACCAGCTGGACGAAGTGGGGCCTGTGTGCAAGGCGGCTGGTGTTTGGCTACATGTGGACTCGGCCTACGCCGGCAACGCCTTCATCTGCCCCGAGTTCAAGCCGCTGATGAAGGGCATCGAGGTACGGAAGCGACAGTGATGCGCCGCTGCGTCCACTCGGGTTGTGGATGCTGTTATCCTGAGTCGCCTCCTCTAGAATCCGAATCTTCTAGAATCCTCTAGAATCCGTTATCCTACCGTAGATTCGGCGCAGCAGGCTGCAGCGCCGGCTACGATGGCGGCTACATATGCCGTTTTACGATGCCATGGCTGTTTTCGGGCCTGGTTCAGCAGGTTCTTCTTTTGCTCGTTTTCTAGATATGCGATAGGCATTGCTTTGCGCATAACGCGTTTAAAAAAATCAAGGTTTTGATATTTCGGTTTACGTTTAGCCATGCGTGGGAGGGATGTGGTCTCGAAAAGTGAGCTGAGAGGGAGGGTTGAACCGTGGCAAATAATGAAAGGTACCTCAAAATTCGCCAGCATACGGTTACTCCCCGGATTAGGCCCAATTTTCTCTCAACGTTGGGCGAGAGGTGGGGGAGGGGGAGGGAGGACTGAGGTCCCAGTTGGAGGGAGGGAGGGGAGGGGGGACTGAAACCCCCAACTGAATAGGAAACTACAACCCTGGTGCGTGTTTTTTTCCTAAAATGATAAACACTATTTGCACCATCGCTTAAGTATCCTACAAGAGCCAGGTCGTGTGTTTTGCTGGGCGTGTACTAACATCATGCGTCACCTTCACATCACGAGGCATACAAAGCTGTGTAGAGCAATGATATCCTGTAGATGGTGTCGTAATCATTTGCAATTTTCAGTACGCGATGTCATTCAATATGAACCCAAACAAGTGGATGCTGGTAAACTTTGACTGCTCCACTATGTGGTGAGTATTAGACTGTTCCCATCAAATAAGGTGATGAAGGTCTCTTAGATGTGTATGAAATATTTCCGAGATTACTCTAAGATCTGAGATGAATCACTGAGTGTTCCGAAAAAGTGACTCGAATGTGGTGCACATTTTTATCCATCGCCTTTAACAAAATATTGCACACTTCTATAGCCATCATATAATAGTTTTATCAATATGCTGAACAGCAATATCTTGCGTTGTGTTGTCTGCTTGCACATAATGGTGCGTTATCTTGCACGAAATAACGTACGCCCCAATCTTCACCTTCGCACGTACTACAGCACAAAACCCTGTCTGTGCTTACTTGCGTTCGTGCGCGCGTCCTACGTATGTGTGTGTGTGTGTGTGTGTGTGTGTGTGTGTGTGTGTGTGTGTGTGTGTGTGTGTGTGTGTGTGTGTGTGTGTGTGGTGTGTGTGTGTGTGTGTGTGTGTGTGTGTGTGTGTGTGTGTGTGTGTGTGGGTGTGTGTTGTGTGGTGTGTGTGTGTGTGGTGTGTGTGTGTGTGTGGTGGTGTGTGTGTGGTGTGGTGTGTGTGTGGTGTGGTGTGTGGTGTGTGTGTGTGTGTGTGTGTAGTGTGTGTGTGTGTGTGTGTGTGTGTGTGTGTTTGTGTGTTGTGTGTTTGTGTTGTGTGTGTGTGTGTGTGTGTGGTGTGTGGTGGTGTGTGTGTGTGTGTGTGTGCGTGTGGCAGAGTACGGGAAGAAGAACAAGTCTGAGCGCGCTCCTAAGTCAGATCACCGTCGCAGATGGACCAAAGGTCTATGACAGGGGTCCTGTTCGGTAGGGCTGTTATTATGTTCGGTGGGTTTGTTGTTATGTACATCTGCTGTTATATCCTATGTACCCAGTGAACTGACGGCCTGCTCCACTGCTCGGTGATTCGGTGCGATCGGAGTGTTCCTCACAGGGCCGCAGTCGTTGCCTCGGAGGGACTCTGTACGACACGGCACGCACGAGCTAGCCCAGCGGGGGGGGGAGGGAGGGGGGGGGCAGGTGTTGCACTCCGACCCATCCGGTGCGGGTGTCAGTACGGTCAGGGGCTAAGCGAAGCACGTATTACGGCAGCGGTTTGCACGCGGGAACGCTGTCATCTTTAATTTATGTGCAATCTTTCCCTTCTAAACCGTTAATCGAGAAGCAAATGGGCGATGTGTTGTAATGAAGGCCTGTTCTGAAACTCTACTAATAGGTGCGACAAGTCCATGAAAGCGGGAGATGGATACCCATGGACCATGGTGGGGTCGGTGCGGCCGGGGTCGGTGCGGCCTTTATTCCTGTCACGGAACAAGCGCCCCGTGCCTGTTCGTCCTGATCACGGCCGCGGGCATCCCTACCTTTCTCTGGCATAGTGCAGCACACCGCTCTTGCTTGGACACTGCACCGTGCGACACCCTTGTGCTGACGATAGGCATGACGCAGCCCGCCCCAACCATCTGGCTTTTTACCATTGGGTTCTCTGTTGTTTCTTTTACCGGTGCGAACCCAAACGAGATGGCGTGTTCAGATGATGACGGGATAGTGATCCAGGAGAAATGTATTCCACTGTGACCTAGATATTTGATGAGAAATCAACGAACATTTGTCTTCTCGTGTCAGAGCATCCAAAACCTGATTGATGGGTGGATCCAAAGTATGTCTGAGATCTTATATCGAACGGGTGGTTGTGAAATTTCAGATTCCTAGAAACGCCGGTGTACCTGGGTAGCAGTGTTTAAACAGAAATATATGTGAGCCCTCAGTGTTTAAACAGAAAGACACGTGACAGGAGTGGGCTGAGCCGCAGTGCTTAAACAGGAAAACACTTGACAGGAGTGGGCTGAGCCGCAGTATTAAAACAGGAAAACACGTGACAGAAGTGGGCTGAGCAATGTTTAAACAGGAAAACACGTGACAGGAGTGAGCTGAGCCGCAGTATTAAAACAGGAAGACACGTGACGGGAGTGGGCTGAGCAATGTTTAAACAGAAAAACACGTGACGGGAGCGGCCTGAACAAAGTGTTTAAACAGGAAGACTCGTAACGGAAGTGGGCTGAGCACAGTGTTCAACAGGAAGACACGTGTCAGAAGTGGGCTGAGCCGCAGTGTTTAAACAGAAAGACACGTGACGGAAGTGGGCTGAGCCGCAGTTTTTGAACAGAAAGACGCGTGATGGGAGTGGGCTGAGCCGCAGCGTTTAAATACAAAGACACGTAACGGGAGTGGGTTCGCCGTTGAAGTCCATTGAGCCTGACAGTGACCGAGATACTACCCGCCACGGATGAAAATAGTCCCGCCCTGGCCGCACGTATCCTTCTTTTCTCTGATGAAGCCAATAGGAATGGTTTCGTTCGATGCACAAACGCACTAGGAGTAATGTGCAAAACAACGTCACATTTACTGCCCAGACATCTCGGCTATTTGGTTTGCTGGAGCAGACCTACATTTTCCAGCGTCTGAACTCGGCAGATCGTGACCTGACGTAACGTTCAAGACCGGTCACGCGCGAGGTCAAGAAGTCAAGTATGGGCGATTACTGGTCTGGGCCCGCGGTCTCTCGCGAAAGGACGGCACCTGATCGAACGAACGAGCGTCGCTGACTGGAGGCAACACGCCAGTAATTTTCCAGTGGTCACGACAACCTGGAATGGGAGCGGTGATATCCTGGCTCATTGGTATTCTCGACTGGAGGCAGACATGCGTAGTCGCCTGACGGGCAGGAGGTCGACGCCCTGTTTTGTCCCGTCTCGTTTATGCGGCATCGACTGCCGTCGTTTTTACGAGCGAGCCTGCGGGACGTGCGAACCATGTCTGCCTGCTGGTATCTGTGTGGCTTCAGCGTGCTGATCCGGCCCGGCCCAGCCTGTGATGCTTTTGACAGATTTACAGCGCTGCAAGCACCGGGCTCGCTTCCATGAGATCTGCAGCCACAAGAAGCACAATTCTTTAACAATTATGCCTTAATATTTGCAAAACGCTGAAGCGAACGCTGTCTGATCAGGCGGTGCATTTCTGCAATGTTGCCATACTTCGACTGTCATGGCCTTGAAACCCATGTAAGGTTAGATAAGGTGAAATATTTGAATCGCAAACAAGTCAAGATCGCGGGTTGGAGACAGGTTCAGATTTGGGCAGGCAGGATGTGAGGTCACAAATAGGTGCTATCCATGTTGACGGGGACGAAAACGGGCATTCACACCGGCAAAGTGTGATCCGTGTGTGGATTTTTTTTCAAGCGCGGTGTTGCGCAAACCTAGATTCGCCCACTCTCGGGTGTTTTCAAGGATTTGTGCCAAAACTTGGTATCCGGAGCAGGAACATGTATAAAACCCGCGATGGAGGTTGGGTTAACGCACTGCCAAATGCCAAGCGACCTCAGCACCGTCCGACCCACGGGTGCGCCATTGACAGGCAGAGGCGCCACAAGTGCCGCTTCTTCCGAAGTCGCCCTATAATGCAGCACGCTGTGGCTTAAACCAAGGCGGACCGGACCCTAAAAGCCTCATAGGCTCGTAGCCTTAAATAAATTATTACCGATTTCCCCCTTCGCCCCTTCCGTCACACCTAGAGCCATGACCGGTTGGTGGTCTTCCATAGGGTGAGGGATCGCTTCAAGCTGACCCAGGCCCTGGTGGTGGACCCACTCTATCTACAGCACAACTACTCGGACAAGTCCATCGACTACAGGGTAAGCAGCTGTGTCAGTGCCCCGGCACCAGGGTCATTCGGTTGTATGTCATCACAAAATACGCTACAAATCTAACTGCTATCTCAATCGTGTACAGATATTGGTCAAAACACAAGACGTAAGGGAAAGAGGAGGAAGGGGGACAAAAAGATAACCAGGGAGGGAAAGGTGAACATAATGACGCATCCGCTCTTGTATAAACAACGTGTGTTTTCCGTACAATAAAAGGCGTTCATCCGTAAAAGTGCTATGAGTCGCGTGTCGGCCCCCAAATCAACTTCGCTGCTGCACACTATCATCGTTGACCTATCAAGACACCATACGACTTACGATTCGTTAGGACTGGGCTGCCAGCAGCTCTTCTCACCATGATTCACTGGAGGCATTGATTTTCATCCTCCGTGTTAAAAACTTCTCCGTTTTCGTCTATCCGCAAGAATCTGACAGCAAGCAACAGGTAAACCTAGCCAGAAAACATTTCCTCGGCGCTCTGGGATAACGGCAAATAAGGAAGCTTTATGTCGGGCTGTTATTGCCAACTGCCGCCCTGCGGGTCCCGCTGACCGTGGCTGTTATTGCCAACTGCCGCCCTGTTCGTCCCGCTGACCGTGGCTGTTATTGCCAACTGCCGGTCTGTTCGTCCCGCTGACCGTGACTGTTATTGCCAACTGCCGCCCTGTTGGTCCCGCTGACCGTGGCTGTTATTGCCAACTGCCGGTCTGTTCGTCCCGCTGACCGTGACTGTTATTGCCAACTGCCGGTCTGTTCGTCCCGCTGACCGTGACTGTTATTGCCAACTGCCGCCCTGTTGGTCCCGCTGACCGTGACTGTTATTGCCAACTGCCGCCCTGTTGGTCCCGCTGACCGTGGCTGTTCTCACCAGCACTGGGGCATCCCTCTGAGCCGCCGGTTCCGTTCGCTCAAGCTGTGGTTCGTGATACGGAGTCACGGCGTGGAGGGCCTGAGGCGTTACATCCGCGAGCACGTGCGCCTGGCCAAGCGCTTCCAGGGCTACGTGGAGCGCCACCCCAAGTTTGAGCTCATGAACGAGGTCAAGGTAAGGGTAGGTGAAGTGCTTATCACCCCTTTGTTATGGGAGGAGTACGAGAAGCAGATCGCTCTCGTCGGGCAGTGGGCTTTAACGCTTTGGATAACCGTTATGTGTTTTTAGTGGGGATCTTTAAAGAACGAATGTACTAATGAAATTTCATGTGTCTTCTCACACTGATCCTTTTATTTCAGCTGGGTCTGGTCTGCTTCCGCCTCAAGGGTTCAAATGCGCTGAATCAGAAGCTTCTGACCAACATCAACGCCTCCGGCAAGCTGCACATGGTGCCGGCCTCCCTCAACGACATCTTCGTCATCCGCTTCTGCGTCTGCGCGCAGAACGCCACGGACAAGGATATCTGTGAGCGTGTACAGCCTGGATTAAATACTGCAATGAGGGGATGTTGGGACGATGTCAAGTAAAATATATTTTTCTATAACCTCGTTGACAAGCCTCCATGGCTTTCACAAGCACACGACTTTATCTAAGTAGAGGAACACGCGAATAAACTGAGTATTGTGGATTGCAATATTCCAGTTAGAGCCCAAGCTCTTGCAACAAGGCGCCGTCAAGTATTCGTGAGCAACGGACACAGTGTGTATTGTACCGACACATATTTGCTTGTTTCTTTCACTGCAGTGTACGCCTGGACAGTGATCACCAAGTTTGCAGAGGATCTTCTGGCAGAGGAGAAGCTCCTGCCGGACGGCGCGCTTGGAGAGGTAATTTTTCGTCAGGAACCTCCATCCTTTTCCGAACAGAATAGTGAGCATTTTATCCTACTTTCCATGACCCGACTAGAAGAACATTGTCGTCACTAATGCCATATGCAATGCCTTTTTATATCACTAGTTACATTAATTCAGAGCTCATACAGCCAGGTTCATATGTGGTTACACTTGCGAATACACTTGCACATGCACACACGCACACATACACGCACACACACACACACACACACACGCACACGCACACACACATACACACACACACACACACACACACACACACACACACACACACACAGATTCGCGCGCACGAATGCACACATAACAGCCAGACGTAAGTACCCGTACGTCCTCAAGCACCCAGTCACTTGACATGCGTCCGCCTCAGACGCTGGTCGACGTGAAGACCAACGGCCCTGAGCAGATCTACACCGACCTGGCCAAGAAGAGCCGCGATGCGCTCAAGCATAAACGGTCGTTCTTCGTGCGCATGGTGTCCGACCCGAAGCTGTACAACCCGAAGATCGTCAAGACGCTGCCGCGGACGGACACGAACGGCACCGACTCGGACAGCGAGCCGGCCGCCGCCGTCCGCAGCCCCAGCCTGTGAGTCGGGGCCGTTCGCGAATCTGGTGCAGCCGCATATGTGGTACGGTACGGCCCGGTACGGGCCGCCACGACCTTTCTCGGTCCGTGCTCTGCTCTGGTCGAGCTGGTTCCAGTCGGTCTGACCCGGACGTGCCCTGTCTTCCTTCCGACACCTGCCACTCTGCCGGGCCTGCTTCCTTCCGACGCCTGCCGCTCTGCCGGGCCTGCTTTCTTCCGACGCCTGCCGCTCTGCCGGGCCTGCTTCCTTCTGGCGCCTGCCGCTCTGCCGGGCCCGCTTCCCTCCGACGCCTGCCGCTCCGCCGGGCCTGCTTCCTTCCGACGCCTACCGCTCTGCCGGGCCTGCTTCCTTCCGACGCCTGCCACTCTGCCGGGCCTGCTTCCTTCCGACGCCTGCCACTCTGCCGGGCCTGCTTCCTTCCGATGCATGCCGCTTTTCCGGGCCTGCTTCCTTCCGACGCCTGCCGCTCTGCCGGGCCTGCTTTCTTCCGACGCCTGCCGCTCAGCCGGGCCTGCTTCCTTCTGACGCCTGCCGCTCTGCCGGGCCTGCTTTCTTCCGACGCCTGCCGCTCTGCCGGGCCTGCTTCCTTGTGACGCCTGCCGCTCTGCCGGACCTGCTTCCTTGTGACGCCTGCCGCTCTGCCGGGCTTGCTTCCTTCCGACGCCTGCCGCTCTGCCGGGCTTGCTTCCCTCCGACGCCTGCCGCTCCGCCGGGCCTGCTTCCTTCCGACGCCTACCGCCCTGCCGGGCCCGCTTCCTTCCGACACCTGCCACTCTGCCGGGCCTGCTTCCTTCCGATGCATGCCGCTTTTCCGGGCCTGCTTCCTTCCGACGCCTGCCGCTCTGCCGGGCCTGCTTCCTTCCGACGCCTACCGCTCTGCCGGGCCTGCTTCCTTCTGACGCCTGTCACTCTGCCGGGCCTGCTTCCTTCCGACGCCTGCCACTCTGCCGGGCCTGCTTCCTTCCGATGCATGCCGCTTTTCCGGGCCTGCTTGCTTCCGGCACCTTGCGCTTTTCCGGTCTGCTTCCTTCCGGCGCCTGCCATTCAACCATTCTGCTTCCGTCCGACGTCTGCCTTTTTGCGGGCCTGCTTCCTTCCGACTTCTGCCATTCTGCCGGGCCTGTCGTCATTCAGACGCGCGTGAGAGAGTTACTATATGAAAGCATGAAGCCCTTACCATTCAGTTATTACGTTCCTAGACTTATTTCTGTGGCACATGCTGACTAAAGAGAGACCAGTAATATGGTCTACGACACACGTGCTTACGTTATTTGCATTGCCAAATTCATCCAGGATGTATCGAAATTAAGCTCTGTCGTATATCAGTTCTGGGCTTTGAAAAACTCTTGCAAGATTGTTTGCGTATATTTTTGTTGTAGATTTTACAGTTGCTGTGCATATTTTGAGTTTCGAAGACTGTAGTTATAAATCACATATTTTTACTTTGCAAAGCTGCGTTATGCGATTATCCCCAAACATGTGCGATCAACGCCGAAAATCTACGGATCTCTTTTTTGAAAAAAATTGGCTGCAGGTGGTTTCATACGCTGTTGAATGATTTACTTGTTTGCTTGGTGCATGATCTTTTCTAAAACAAAGTCGAAGATACATGGCATCCTCCCGTTGGTTCAATTATGAAAGAACCCACATGCCTAAAAAATATGCCTTAGTGATCCAACACGCTTTTCTGGGACGGAATAGGGCCCTTACACCGAATAAAGTGGTCCTTTCCCCAGCAGAATAAAGTGTGTGGACTGTGTTCGATGTGACTATGCGTTCTGTTCTTAACGGCTTACATATTCCGACAAAAAACTTCAGTAACCTCTGCGCATTGAGCTCTCCTTCCTGATATCAGTATTCCTGAGCTTTGTTTATTTTCCATCTCCAGTAACAAACATCGCGCAGACCTAATTCCACAAATTTATACACTAATATCATGAATGACTCTGCAACTCAACATGTGGAAAAACTGATCAAATATGTGACTTCTTCGACGAATTCCTTTGCCTATCATTGTCGTTTCCACATGTGTCCAATGGCGTTGTCCAGCAACAGCAGTAGATCCGCATGCGCGCCTTCTGTTCGATGTCTGATCGCGAGACGGATAATTGTTGCGCGTTTTGACGTATTTCAAACTCTCGTGACAGTTTTTCTGCTTTGCCTCACGTTTTTCACGCGTGCGAAACATTTTGAACGCACGCCTCGCTAGGAGTCCTTTGGTGGCGAGCAGGGCCGCCTGCACTGCTGCTCGAAACCGCATGCCGGGTCTGCTCGGTCGGCTGGCGCGCCGAGCGGGCGCGTCGCGTCTGCCGCGCTCCGCCCGCTGACGCGCCACGATCGCCGCAGCGCCGCATGGAAGGCTGGCGCCTCGACGCCCGACCTGGCGCTGCCGTGCGGCGCAGCGCGCGGCCAGCCGGCCGGCGGCCTCGTCTTCAACCCGTTCATGCTGCTCGGAAGGCGCACGCTCAGCGAGTCGGCCGTGCTGAAGCTGCCGTCGCCGGTGCTGGAGCACCAGCCACCCGGCGCAGAGGGCGAGGTGTGAAGCGGCGCGGCCTTGCCCCTGCCGCTCAGCCACTGGACCGTCGACGCTGGTGGCGAAGGCGACCGGCCGTTGTTCGGGCAGGAGCTGCCAATGCCCAGCTCTGCTTGGCGATAGATCAGCTGCTGTGTTTGCGGGTGCTGGGGTTTGGAATCGATTTTAAGTGCTTGCTGCATCTTTGCTTGTGTGTGAGTGTTGTCGCTTGCGCCTTGCATGAGAGGAATGTTGCAGATGGTAGAGTGGGAGCTCTCTTGGACTGGCCGGCGTTTTCATTTATGCATACGCATATGTATCATGTGCTTCGACCAGATGCCTGAAGCTCCGTCTCCTATGAAGAGAGAACACATCTATTTTTAATAAATATTTATTTCACACATTCTTTTAGCATCCGTTTTATTTGGTGACAATCCGCGCAGTGAACCAACAGGACCAGTTTTGTCACAGCTCATTGGTGTGTCCGTTAGATCGTCATCCAATTGATGCGTTCAAGTGTAAATCTTACGTACAAGGCACTGCAACTTAAGTTTAGGTAATAATTAAGTGTTAAGAAAGGTTCATCATAGCATTGGGCATAAGCAATAACCACACTAGTTAGCATGCCCAAGACTGTCGGAGACTGTCCAGCAATATGTTACACATCTCGAATTGTTTTTTAACCTTCACTCTTGCTTTCACATTAGTTTTGTTGGATGAAAACCTCCTCTCCTAGCGCTGTTATTAACGCATGATTTTACACCACACCCTAGCGCGCCCGTCACAGCACATTACGCCGCCCAACGCCCCCCTCTTCTCTTTACCTTTCGGTTACGCTCCATCAACCCCGCTTTGCTGCCTAACGTATCGTATGGACGGTTCCTTTCATATCAGCAAAATACCTTGCGAAAGAAATCCAACGAGTTTTAGTAACGTGTTAACCTTGCAACATGGGGGGCATTTCCATAAGTAAGAAGCCGCATAAGCCTATTTCTGCGCTGCTTTCATGCGACGAAAATATCATTCCAAAGGCACCGAAACCACACCCCGCGACGTGGACCTGAGACCACGGGCTTACTTACGCAACGAGCAGAGAGCTTGTGAAACCCCACCATTTGACGATCAACGCCCCGGTCGCCATTTCCTGGAGCAGTCGTTGCGCACTGGGCGCCGCGTGCGGCGCCGGGGGGCTTCCGCGTCATCTGCGCCGGCGGCGCCGCCGCGGGCTTCTGCTCGACTCATCGGGCAGCCGGGCTTTCAGGCGGCGGGGCCTTTCCAAAAGCAGCCCTGGCACGCTGGCTTCAGTTTATGACGGGACGTGGTGCCGCCTGATGAGCGCGCTCTGGCTGGCGGGTCTGGGCCGACCCCGACCGCCGCCGGCCGCTGACGTGACCTGGTCTGGAGACGCCGGTGTCAGGTGATGCGGCTCTAGCCAGGTGACATGGTTCTAGTGCCCCGGCTTCATTAAAGACAGGTCTCGCACCGGGCTTTAAAGTCTCGCTAGAATGACCCTGGTTCTCTGCGCGTGTCTATCTGGATGGCACAGGGCCATCCAGAGACAACCAGAGACAAAAAGGACAACAGAAACAACAAATGGGAGCGCTGTTCAAGTGGCAGCAGCCTCCCAAAGTCACGCGCTCGAACCGTGATCAGACTCTCGGGCGACGGGGGGGGGCAGGGGACGTTTCAGACTCTCGGGCGTGGGAGCGGGGTAGGGTTCAGTTAGCATGCCAACTGGTGACTCTTAGCATCGTAATTGTGGGAAGTCTTATCACAAAAACCGTGGTGTTGAAACGTGAGGACCGTTGGAACAGGGGTGTAGTTTCACAAAATAATGGGGAGGGTATAAGCTGAGCATCCTTTAGCAGGTCAAACATCCTTACTCAAAAATGGATGTGAAAATCGGGTGGCATGGATCGGAGAAGGACAGAAAATTGTTTCAGTCTGCTCGCCCGCGCGGTCAGTCGAGACGAATCGTATGGCTATATTTTGTCTCACGAACATGAGTGTCAGTATATATGCTTTCGGAGGAAGGAAAGAACAAGAGCCCCCCCCCCCCCCTCCTTCTAATGCTGGCTTAAGCCCCCGCCCCAGGGACCGTCTGAGCCTCTCCCCAGTGAATCTAAGCATTAAGGAATACTGAACCGCAACATACAGACAACTTTCCTGAAATGCTGGTACACTAGGTACATGAAACATCACCAATAACTTTAGGCTCATTTTGCATCCAGCTATCGTTCACGTTGAGTCAGTCTGAAATTATTGACAGATTTTCCACGAGATAACACCTGAATAGGGACGCAGCAAAAATAGACTGCAGTATGTGGCAGCTTGTAAGTATAAGGTATCTGATTCTAAGGTACAGGGATTTATCGATGTTTGGCAATTCTTTTCCACGAGTGTCGTACTTCAAGTACATTGCACGAACATCACGAACGTTCCCATTATTCAGGCTGTCTGCCCTATCTCCCAATACGCGGTACTTTGCTAAGGGCTACCCGAAACACAGGCGGCCAAACGGAAAGCCTCGATGACACGCGCCGGGCAGAAGCGTGGAAAGTAGTTTGTCGGTAGATGTTGTTTGCTGCAACTTCCAGGCAACTTTTTCTAAACGTAAAACCCAAATGACGCTGCTCAAAAAGCGTGTTAAGTTGCACACAAGCTAAGCGTAAGGACATCAAGGTCCTAACATGACGTTACTGTGTTCAGGCTTGGGGGAATGTTACGGTTGTGTAACAATTATTATATCCTGAGATCCGCGTGGTCTTTTGCTGTTGCTAAAATTTCGTCTTCAAAGTCGACATTTGTTCCATTGTGTTCCGTGTGCCCGGTTACCATGCGTTAACCTCGCGGAATGCATCAAAAACTCTTCGTAAAACGAGAGTCTCCAAGGTTTTCATAAAACCAACCGATTGTGTTTCAAAATATCAGACTGGCCTAGATTCTAATAATCTTTCATATTCTCCATCTTGGTCCATGAGAGATGAGCCGTGAGCTTCTTAGCAAAAAATGAAAATGAAAAAAATGAGAAAACCAATCATTGCTAAACAAAGCTTTGGTTCATGGCCAATTTTTCGTACTTTGTCAACTTCTTGAACAATATTGTGTCCCAGACAAAGTGATTTTTTAATTTTTTCACCCTTTTTACGCCACCCTTATTATTTAAATCAGCATGGCACCAAATTTTAAGTGTACAAAACTAGTTGGACACAGGTGAAAGTGATGTAATTTGAGACAGTGAGTTATTTCAAAATGCGGCAAAATTTTACTCAGCGAGAGTCTTTGTTTCGTAATTGGTGAATTCATGTTTTTTACTAGAGCGTAATAAAGAGCAAAGAGTAACTAGAGAGTAAAACATCGGATTCAGAAAACACCTTCCTGCATCAAAATGTCCGATTTCTGGATCATGAAGCCAGTTTTGGGAAAAGGGTAACCATTTTCGAAGTAAGGGGTCCCAACGATGTGATAAGAGGCACCCGTTGCAAACAAGAAAGCCCCTTTTCTGGGATAGGGGACAACCTCTATATCCATGGGGCCCCATTTCTGGAAGAGGATCCCCTTTTATGCATCAAATGGCCGTGGTTCAGGATCAGGGTGTCTCTGTTTAGGATAAAGAGACCCCTCGGGTACATTCGGACGCACCTTTGTGAATCGAAAACATCTTGTTCTGAATTAGGAGGCCTTCCATGCACCAGAAGACCTTTCATGGAACAGAAGGCTGTCCAAACCAACCCGTCGCCGTCGTTACGCTCAGTTTCGACGGCTCAACTCACTCGGCCTAGGACCCAGCGTGCTGAAGTGGTGACCGCTCTCCAAAACAAGGGTCACTGACCGCTGGGATCGCCTGGTCGAGGTGCAGCTTGGTATTTGGTTGGAGGGGCTCAATATGTTTATCCATATATATATATATATATATATATATATATATATATATGTATATATATATATATATATATATATATATATATATATATATATATATATATATATATGCAAATATATTTATACATCGACCTACACCTTTATCAAAGCAACTGTCTCCTCAGTCAAAATGTGTAGGTCCCATGCTGCTGCGACGTCGTATCGTCGATATCTCGGTCAAGATTTCACTTCCTCGGAGTAGGTTTTTTGCGTAGCAAAGTTCATGCTTGATGCTAACTGAACTGCGAGGTGTCTACATTGTGTCGTCACGCTTAATCACACAGCCCCTATGCAAATAACCCAAGCACTTCTAAATAATTGCGTCAACCACTTCATGTTGCTTGAAACTGGATCAGGCAACCATCAGCCTCTCGAAAGTGTGACGGTCCGGGATCCAGTTGCGAGTAAATTTTGTTATGGCTCCAAAAAATGAAGCAACACATTTCCATTGTGTTGTTGCCTTTCCTTTGTACAGGCAAGCGCCGAAACAGTTTACATTTAAATTTATCTGCTCTATTTTTAGTATTGGTGATTTCTGCTCCAAGGCATGCACTGGATAATACCTAAAATATGGTTACCTAACGTACTCCTGTATTTCAGCGCCGAGGAGCATGAAGATGCCTTCTAAAATCGACCCAATCATCGATGAAATCGTGTTCTGTGCTGATCATGCAGAGCCGATGGTGCTGCGATTTAACGCCGGTGGCTGCGTTCTGGGCAAAATGGTGTATTGAAAAGACCTACGGAAGCCTAGATTAGCTTTCGCTGGGTCTAATGTTTGTGCTTGGCCTACCATTGCTTGTTTTGGAACAGTCTGTATGTGTATAGTTAAGTATGAGTGTGCCGTTTACCTAAGCTTGCAGGCTTTTCTGGCATAGACATTCAAGTTAGTGGAGCTGTATAAAAAGAGCTGTCAAGGTAGACGCCGATGAAACTTGGCCTCATTCGGTTTAGGATAGAACGATCGATTACAAACGGGAGTGACAACTTTCAGTTGTTTTTTTTTCGACGAAGGCACTGTACGCGTTAGGTACCGTTAGAGGGTAGTTCTTGGATCATGTGCAAATATATTTACCCAGTCAACGGTGAATAGTTTTGTATTTTCTTTGAAGGTCTTTCCCCATTCAATATAACCTCCCAGTCATGCGGTGGTTGGAGCCAGGCACTCGCCATTTGCCATCTACAGGACCTCGTCATCATTGGGATTTTACGACGCACTCAGCTGCTGAAGCTGAAGTGTCGCCTGCCTCTCACACTGCCAGGAAGGGCGGGCACTGCGGGGAGTCGAGCCCCGTACCTGTGGTTGCCCAGACGCAGCAGTGGTTAGCGCTATAGCAGCTCAACACTTGCGGCGGGAAACATACATGCGTTTGCAGTGATTTGCTGAAGCTCCGGGTTTGGACATTGTTCCCAAAATTATATCAGATGGCAATTCAGGTACAAAAACCATTGTGGTAAACCCAAATGCCGATAATCTGAGCCTGACTTTGAACTCGGCGAACCACCCGGAGCTTGCCCCTTAGCTTTGCACGCTCGCGAGTCCTCGGAAATAGACCACGGCTGCCCCCAGCACGTCATGCCGCTGGCCCCCGCCTGTCAGCGGAGCCGTGCAGCGACCCCGTTCGCAGGCCCTTCCTCAGCCCCACCTGCCAGGTGCACCGCGCCGGAGAAGGCACGCGCAGGGCACCTTGGTGGTTCACACTGCTCTGACTCTGACTCTCGGCGACTTTACGCTGAATTTGACTGCTGGTGAGATCCCGGGTCGTAGAGTCGCTCAAGCGGGCTTGTGCAGACAGTCGATGATGCGTGCCGGAGGTGACAGTATAGGCGGCGGCGCTGCGCCGCAGTACATACACCCCAAAGCGCCAGACTATGGAGGTGCCGGCCGACGGCAGCGCCGCGTTCGTTCGGCAGTGCTCTGCAGCGTACTGTGCCCGCGGCCACTCCATGCTCTGACGCTTCTGGTGGTCGTTTCAGCTCGTCCTGGATCTCGTGGCCGCTTGCGTTCCTCTTCCAGGGCGTGCTGGACGACAGCGCCGGTCTCCCCTCTGTGCCCGTCAGGTAATTACGCAGCGCCGCCCGCCACTTGCCTGCGTGCCGGGGCACCTCCTCTGGGCCGGCCCCGGCTGCTGAGCTTGGCTTCGCGTTCGTTGTCTGGTGCAGTGTGGTCCAGATGTCGCGAAGACACCGCTGGCTGTTTAGCCCCACGGCGGGGCTGCAAGCTACCGCAAGCCCTACTAAACTGCCTGCACTGAGGCGCTGCGCAAGTATCTTTGGCCACAGTAAATCTGATATTGCATAAGGTATACGTGATTTAGGTAGCACTGTGCGTATGGATTTATATTCGCTTGTGTTTTGCGGGCCACGTCGTGTCGTTACATTGCTACCCAGCATCTCTAGTGTAGCTAAGGTCTTAAGATGTGGCAGTAAAGCTCTGATGCATGCAAACTATTTACCAAGACATGCCTCTACGATGGCAGACGGTCGAGTGTTAAGCCTAAGGTTTAACCCTAAAATATTTGAGCCGTCTTTTAAAGCACTCATATATGTCCCTGTGCTGCCGTGCATATTCCGCTTTACCTGCCCGGTTCAACAGTGCAGGGATTTTTTACCGGGGCACTGATTTCCCGGTGAAAAAGACCGACAGCTTCTTCGTGAAATCTATTTGCTGTATTTTGTTACTTGTGCATGCTTTAAACTACGTTTAAGGGAGTAGCCTTGTTGTCAGGGCTTATAGAAATTGACGAAGCGTTTTAAGATATATTCGGTATTTAGCCATCATCAATTTAGAAAAACAAAAGTACGGCAGAATCATCACCGCAGAACTTAAACCTCATGCATTCTGCTCGTGACCAATATTCGCCGTTTTCTCCCGAAATAAAATTAAATGGGTCTCACAAATTCCACTTCATGAAAATATTCATCACCTCCTTGAACAGAAGGTTGCATCGCTGTCGAACATAACATACGTCGTGTTTCGTGCTGTTTTCGCGTCCAAAACATAGGAAACATCACACATAAGCCTCCACAAGTCACCACCCCTAAAATATCCAAAAACGGTCACTGAGGCATAAAAATGCGATTTTGATCCTCAAAAGGTCCACGAATAAAAAAGCAGTACTGTTATTGAGCGGAAGGGGGCCTCTTTGGATAAAAGACACGCCATAACGTACAGCTACTCCAATTTAGCCTTTCTTGGGAGGGGTGCTGGCCGCACCACTGTCAGCATATGTACAACCCATGACGTACATTCCCATAAGCATATGCATACCGTACATGCAAGCCATAACGGAACACAACGTTAAAACACATCTACGAACAGACACGCAAAATGCATAATGCATAATACATATGCATATACATATTCATATACGCATCATTCCATCCATCTATCCATCCATCCATCCACCCATACATGCATAATACATGTGCACATGCATGCATACACATACACACATGCGTACGTACGTACGTGCATATATACATGCACACATACATACATACATACACACATACAAACACTCCCACATCCACGACGCGCACATATCATCTAAGCAGCTAAATGCAGAGGTTCCGGACAGACCACGCTACAACGACCATCTGACCCGAGAGTCAGTCTTCAACGTTAGAGAATAGACCGAAAAGCTCTGCGCATGTTGGGTGTTGGTATCTTTCCTCTGATGAGCATTGGTTCGGAAATCCTGTAATTTGCCCCGTTCATGCATTTAGTGGTGATTCTGGCTTTGATTGAGTCGATTTGGTCCTAACGTGGATGTCTGTGAAGTAATCCTCATAAATGTGACAGGTGTCTTGGCGACCTTTTGAGTATGTTTTTTAAAGGGTGACCTGGCTAAACGCTTCGCTTCCCATAAACGCATCTCCTCACACAACCGACATTCTAGCCCATACGCCACGCTTTTGAAAAGAATTGATCCCCCCAGCACGGCGCTGCACGTGTGTCATTTCCGTCTCCCTGCGGATCCGGCGGGGGCAAGATGGCGCTGCACGCATGTCATTTCCGTCTCCCTGCGGATCCGGGGAGGGCGAGACGGCGCTGCACGCATGGTTGTCGAGTCCAAGCAGACTCAAGCCAGTCACCTTATCCTGAGACCTTTGAACCACCGATTTTGTTTGAGGCGGCGTGCGGAATCGTGCGGTAAGGACGCCGATGCAGCCATGGGTTTTAAATGTTGTTCGGTGCTGCAAACCATATCGGCTCCGACTGCAGTTGCCGTGTCCAGGAACAGAACAGCGCCAGAGGTGTCCGATCTTTTCATGGTGAATTGAATCGCGAGATGCGCGGACTTAAGCTATTTCAGGTAGCTCGTGAAACTCACGCTCCATGAGACTATGTGCATGTCACACCATCGATGTATGTTAAGTAGTAACAGAGAACAAACGAATAACAAAGCACAAGTAATAAAGAAGAGTTCCCCTACCGCCACCTTGAATATTTCCGCCAGAGGAAGGGCAACACGACAACCCACAGCTATCCCCCTAGTTTTCTTGGAGAAGCGTGTGCTGAATACAAAGCAGTTGTTGCTTAAGCATTGGCTCAGTAGTAATATGATGTTCTCTTGGCTGAGGCCGAAAAGCTGGATATTTGCGCCGTCGGTCGTTATTAGGGCTATCGCTGCATCTGCGATTTGGTATAATGGCAAGCTTCCATAGGGGTTCTCCACGTCCACACTGCTCTATGTAGTGCAGGACTAAATCCGTCGGGATGTTTCTCAAGAAGTTTACGTGAAAAATCTGGATGCTTTTTGAATGGGCTGGCACGTATGCCAAAAGTGAGTATGCTTTCCAAGGACCAAGCTAGCTTAGACCGTACCTTAGATACCAACCAAAAAGTCTGAGAAACATTTTAGTCAAGACACCGCTAAAGCCCTCGCCAAATCCGCAGGGAGACGGAAATGACACGCGTGCAGTGCCGTGCTGAGGGGCGCATCTCTGCAAAAGCGTGGCGTATGGGCGTATGGGCTAAAATGTCGGTTGTGTGCGGAGATGTGTACATGGGAAAGGAAGCGTTCAGCCAGGTTACACTTCAACAAACATCTGCAAGAAGTCATCAATACATCTGCCACATTTATGGGGATCATTTCACAAACAGACATCCACGCCAGGACGCAGCTGAATCGATCAATGCCACGATCATTACTAAATGTTAGGACGAGGCAGGCTACGCAACTTCCGAATTAATTCAGAGAGAAAGATCAGGGAAAAGACGCAAACACTCCGCATGCACGCAGCTTTTTGGTCTATTCTCCAACGTTAAATATATATTTATATATACATATATATATATATATATATATATATATATATATATATATATATATATATGCATATATCTATGTATGTTTGCATGCATTTTATGGGCTGCACATATGTAAGTGCCCACGAGCCCTTCGAAGGAATGAACGCAATGCAGCCCTGTATGGTGAGGATGCGTAAATGAATTGAAAACAATGATTAACAACGCGACGAAACACAGGGTATTGCTTGACATAGGTGGACACGGGTCGCTAAACATCGCTGTAGGATTGAGATGCAAAGTGGTGTTGCATGACGATTAAGGATGCAGCGGCTAGGACGCCATGTTCCCTGTGCTTTGATGGGAAGACAGACTGGAGCATGCTTTGGTTCGTGATGGCCAGTGACGTCATATTCTGGGTAGGGAGGTGGGACATGCGCTTTGCGTAATCGTGGTGTCTTACTTCGGAAGGAAGCGGCGAATTTTAGGCACGGGTGTAATGCATCATTTGCAATTTCTCCGGTAATGACCATGGTGTACTTGTGTGCATGTTTTTCAAACTGATAAGCGCTAAAAGCTGAATACTTTTGAAGATATTTCTTCACGTTCTGTGAACCTGGACGTTACTTGCCGGACTACGCTATGCGCAGAATGTGGAACATTCTGCCTGTGCGGGACATGAATGCTCACGAACATCCCAGCAGGCGGCTCAGTGCCGTTGATTAGGCCCGGGCATTAAATATCGACACATTAGGATAATGACGTGCGGACATGTCGCCGTGGTAGTGAGAAACTCCGGT